CAGAAGCACAGCTTTAAATGAATCACAGCCCTTAGTTCATAAGCCCTCCTTTCACAAGTCCTCTTTATTCATTAACGTATAATTTTTATTCCTCATTATATTTTTGTATTTATTCCCAAAAGCCATCTTTCTCCCTTCCTCTCACTTTCCTATACATTCTCTCATTCTTATAAACTCAGGTGCATAGGATGCACCAGAGTCCTACATGCAATATCCTCATCCTTGGTCTATGCAACTCCAACCCTCATTCATTCATTCATTCACTCACTCATTCATTCATTCTCCTGTGGAATTGCATCAGTCAAAACCCCATGTGTGAAAAGAACCTCACTGGCGCATGTATTTATTTTCCCTCGCAATTTTTCTTCCCTGCATTTAGTCACTTTTTACATTCAGTATTTATTATTTTATTTATATACCTCGAGTGCATATATTTTACTGCAGTGGCTGGTGTGTTTTGGTTTTTGGGGGGTTGTGTGTTTCTTGTGTATGTTTTGTTTTTTGTTTTTTGGGGTTTTTTTCTGGCCACTGTTTCCTCCATTTTTCATTTATTTTTTTGAAAGGTGTAATGTGTTTTTCTACTTAAGGAGTGTGTATGTAAACCAATTACAATCCCTGTTCAGACAACCTCTTAACTAGCCATTTATCACTTCGGTTTGTTTATTCATTCTTTTCTTTTTTTTCTTTTTTTTTTCTCATTTTTCCTTGCCCTGGACATAGGATTGGATGAGCTCCTCCATCTTGAGGACTAACAATGACACATTACCAGCCCCAACAGGCTTTTCTGTTTGAGACCCTCCTATGTTACCTTTTTACAGGGGTTTTTTTGTCTTGTGTGTGGGGGGGGGGGGGGTTTCCCTTCTTTTTCACTTAATTTCATCTTGCTTCCCTTGTCTCTTTAACTCTGATGCTTTTTTCTTACATCTGTTCATGTTTAGGGAACACAGGTGAAATGCTCCCTAGAGTGACATGAGTATCCATCCCACGTGCAGCACTAACCTGGCTGCTGCTGGCACAGCCGTTTCTAAGGCAGCCGCTCAGCTATCTGTTCATCCTTCCTGTCACTCCTTTATTTCAATATTTATCGTTTTATCTAGGGGCCTCAGGTGCCCAGAATTGGATTAACCATCATCTGTGGTTCCTGGAGCCTTCTCGGCACCTGTCCGGGGCCGCCCTTTTGCTTGTTAATTTCCTGTACTGGTGCTTTGCTTTAGGGTTTATTGAATCACATCAAGAGCCCAGCTTTCAATCAGTCATCATTTGGGGATCAAGATATTGTCTCATTTATTTGTTCTAGCATGGCCCCCCCCTCTCTCTCATATGTGTGTGTGTGTATACATACATATCTACATATATATTCACTTAATGTTTTTATTGCTTATATTCATCTTGTCATAATGGAGGCATTGTCTATGCCTCGCATTCCCTGCTTTCTCAGATCATCATTTCTTATTCATTTATTCACACAGACATTCCTCTGCTAATTCCTTCTTTCTTTTTAGCCACTTGGGTTTTGTTTATTTTGGTTTTTTTTTGTTTTGTTTTGTTTTGTTTTGTTTTTACTGCGGAAACTCACTTTTTATTACTAATTATATTTAATGAATATTTGTTCATTATATTTAAATACTTATCTAGCAAGTGCCTTCCCCCTCACCATAAGTCTATTTTAATTTCTTTTCCTACATATTTTTTTCTCCCAGTCTTTCCTTTTATTTTCAAACTCTTTTTCTTGCTCTCTCCTGGAACACATAGATTTCTTCACTGTGTCTTTTATGCATGATATTGTTTTTATTATTTATAAACTTCGGGGCCACAGAATTTGAATTAATGTGGAAGATCAGTGTTAAACCAGTCCTCTCTCTCATACATGTAGTTGTTCGGCCTACTTACTTATTATCTTTCTTACTTCTTTTGTTTATGTTGATTTTTTTCCCCATCTTAATTGGTTTTCCTACCAGTCTTTCATTCTTTCTTTCTTGCTGCCTTTCATTCTTTTGGAGACGAGGCACCAGGGCTTGGCTGAACCCTAACCCCCTCTGCAACCCCCTCCTCATCAGTCAATGCAAATCTTTTCCCTCATTCTTTCCCTCATTCATGCCTTCGTGCATCCATTTAGTCTTTCTCCCTAAACGGTTGTTTTTCCGCTTTGGGATGACAGATGCAGCTAATTGGCCTCATGATAATCTGTGGTCAATGGGTCCTCCCTCCCTGGCCTCACGGTGGTCCTCCCTCATGTGTCAGCTTTGAACTGTTTCCTGGGTGGGTGGCTGCCCATGTCAGAAGCACAGATGTGAATTAATCAGTGTTTGGTTCACGCACCCTCATTCTTATTCCAAGAATGGCTCTCTCTTCTATACGTATGTATTTATTTGTTACCTAATTACCTTCTTTTTACATTTCTCTCCAACACTCATTATTCCTCCCTTTCACTCTTCCTTTCTTTCTTTCATTCTTGGAGCTCAGCTGCCATGGCCAGCTAAATCCCAATGCCACCTGCAAACACCCACCATGGCCCACACAGCTCCAGCCTCATTAATTCCTTCTGTGCTTCCTTCAACCACTCACCCATTCATTCTTCCTTCCTGTTTTCTTTCTTTTCATTAGGTATTTACTCCTGTTCTAGTGAATGGGGGGCTCAGATCTGGACCAATTTGTGAGGGCCCCTCATTACCAGTCCTAGCCTAACCCTCTCCTGAGGATCTACCCGCTTGTTCTTCCTATATCTTTGTTAGAGCTGTCTCTATCCCCTCTTTCTCACTTGACTTCTTTTATTCTCCTGGAGCTTCTGTCCAGAGGGAATTCATCACACACACACACAACCAACCTCTCATCAGAAGTGTATGGCCATGCCTCCCCCACCCCACCTTTGTTTCCTTAGAGTCTCCTCCACTTGTTTGCTTACATGCTTATTATTTTATTGACAGTGCTGCAGTTTTAGACTTTGATTCACCCTAACCCTTGGTTCGGGACTAGTCTTTTAGCTCTCCTCTTAGCGTCAATACACCCATTAATATACTTCTGTACCTATTTTTCTTCCCTCTTTCTGGACCTGCATGTAGATGTTTTATTTAGCCCCTTGTTCTTTCATCATTTCATGCAACAGACACCCTCAGCTCCCAGGGACTGAGGACTCCAAGCCCCTCGCACCACATTCCCAAGCCAGAGCCGGGTAGCTCACTGCTCACTCAGCCATTCTATTTCTCTCTTCTCTTTGGTTTTCTTTCATTTCAGTATTTATTTACTTATATGTGCTCAGAGTTAAAAAACAAAACAAAACAAAAAAAAAACCTTTTGGTTAAAGTTATTTCTCATCTTTGGTCCCCTGAATACTCTTTCCTCTTTAACTATTCTTTTAACTTTCCCTGTTGTTTATTTTTTCTATGCCAGGAGCACCTACTAGAATTAATCAGATTAAAATAGCCCGACATAGTCCTCCTTATATATTTACTCATCTCCTAGTTTTTAGAAGTTATATTTCTTCCTTTTCTTTGTTTTATTTTGCTCCCTGCCATTTTCTTTCTCCCTTTCCATCCCCTGTCCTTCCTCTCTGGCATCTTTCCCCCCTGGATGGGTCTCAGATCCTCACTGCTGGTTTGTGGGGTTTTCCACAGTAATTTTCTCTTTAATTTTTACTTTTTTGACAAAGAGCTGCACAATAAATGTACGCATGCACATCAGAATCTGGAGGTAAGTTTGCACTGGGAAACCAGCACTACAACCTGTCCACCACCGTGAAAAGTTCCCTCTCACCCTTTTATGTATTTTCCCCATTTCTGATAAGAACTCTTTACATAAAGTCCACCCCCTTAGCAAGCTTTTACACAATATAATACAGGACAGTCACCATTGGTTTATGCATTTCTTACTTTTTTCCTTTATGTACCTTTTATTCTTTTGTTGAACAAGTTTATATTTGCTCTATATTTGAATGACACATATTCCTTGGTCCATGATGACCTGATACCAGTTTGTGTGCGGCCTTATTTACACATTGATTCAGTATTTTATTGACTTACATATTGATCTCCAGGCATCGCATTGGATCTTGTTCAGCATACACTCTCATCTGGCTGGTCGCTTTTTTTACCCATTTATTTATTAATTCCTTCATCGAACCAATAAAATCACCATATCTTAGGACCTTTTGTTTTTTTTCCTTACCAACTTAACCACCGAGACCAAGGTGTGCACAACCCCTTAACACATTCACATGGCAAAAGCAGGCACAGGTACAGGCAAAGTTCGTGCCCCCCAGTCACTTCCCCCGGGCCCTGTGAATGGCTATCCCCATGAGAAAGCAGTTTGAGGGCCCCGGGGGGGGTACACAGAGAGAGACACACACACGTCCTACACGGTCTCCCCGGTGGGAAACACAGATACGAAGTTCATTTGTAAACAGGCAGCTTTGTGTGCAGCAATATAACAATATTTTGGCCTTTCAAGGCGAGCACAAAAGGAATGAGCCATTGCCGTGGCCGGGTGTCTCGGTTCTCCACAATGGAGAACTTGGAGGTTTAGCGGCACACCGTGAAGACAGAAAAATCTGCCCATTCGGTTTCCCAGACAATTTCGAGGGGGCGAGCGGGGTCACCGGGGGCTGCAAGCCCGTCTGAAAGGCGGGTCCCTGGGCCCGGGCGCTTTCAGCGGCCCGCAAAGGCCCCCGCTCAAAGGGGCGCTGCCACCGTGGGCTGGCCCGCAGCACGGGGGCCAAGGGGGCCCTGGGTAATGAAAGGGCCATTCATCTCGGGGCTGAAAGGGATTCTTTTAGGGTCTGGCCCCCGAGGCTGCATATAGAATTCTCTGCCACCACCCGGGAGGCTGGAGGGCCTGCCTTAGAACTTGAGCCCCCTGAGGTCCTCATCCCACTCGCCAGCTGGGCACCCACCTCCCTGTGCTCGGCAGCCCCCCCCACAGGGCACGCCCGGCGGTGTGCAGGGGCGGCCCCCCATCCTCCACGTCCAGGCCACAGGTGTGTGTGCGCGGCGCTCTCGGGAACTTACGGTTTTCCGGGTAGAGGATGCGGGGGCGCTCATCCGAGGTCCCACGACGAGTTCCGGGCGATGGCTTCGTCTGGAGACACAAGGCACTAGTCACACACGGAATGGGGCAGGGACTCCCCAGAGCCTGGCTAGCAGGGAACTGGAGACGCCCAGCATCTATCTCTTTTCCATCCCCTGGGTCATGCCCTCACCCACCTGCCAAGCTCCCTACCCCAGCTTCAGCCACCGACGGAGAGGAGGGCAGGGGACAGCATGGAACACGGCTCCTACGCTGGGTGCTACCCGTGTGCTACGTTCTGTTTTGTGAAACCCAGAAGTGCAGGGCCCCTGCGCAAACGAGAGCTGAGCTGGATCCCTGGAAGGGCATTCTGCCTGGCTGGAAGGGCACGGCGGCCCTCAGTGTGTGCTCAGAGAGAGGGCAGGTGGCCCGCAGAGCAGCTGGCCCAGGATGACACAGAGACGTGGGCTGTGGGGGACACTAAGGGTCATGCAGTCTTTAGCAGGCAGTGTTACCTACAGGGCTGCAGTGTTGGCGTGTCTCCCCTGCACTCCCTCCCGCAGACTGGAAATCACCTCTGGTTGCCTGTCACGCCTCATACCGTGTAAACGCCATGTAAGGAGTTGTTAGAAAGGGTTGTTTGGGGAATGGCGACAAGAAAAAGCCTGTGTGTGTTGAGTACAGAGGCAGCCAGCAGCCTCGGGAGGCCTCACGACACAACACACCTTGTCAGCAGCAACGTGACTCTTTTCCCAAATATTCCCAGTCCATGCTGGGTTGAATTCATGGACGCAGAGCCCATGGATCCAGAGAGCCAACCGCATATTGGCTCCTGGACTGTAACAAGCGGCCACCCTAAGGCAGGACGCTCATGCCAGGGGAAATGGGGGGCGTGGGGGTGAAAGGAGAGTTCTTTGGTTTCACCACTGACTTTTTCTGTAACCCTAAGACTACTCAGAAGAAATAGTCTCTTCATGACACATGTTTAAGTGAGTGGGTTTTGAACACACATGTAGTAGATCTAGTGAAGGTAAGGAGGCGTGGCCAGCAGGTGGTCTGCCATGGCTGAGGCTTGAACAGGAAGGTAGGGGAGAGGGCGGAGCAGAGGCTGGGGAGAGAATGAGAGGGCGCAGGCTGCCCTGGCCCTCCAGGGAACCCCAAGGAAAGGGCTCTCGCCCACTCCCCTGCCCTGATGGGGGCTCTTGGGGTCCCCCCTGCTGCCTTTGCCTCTCCATCCCCCGCTGCCTCACTCCCTGGGGCTCCCCACACCTGTACGGGGCACTGGGGACGCACCTTTGACCTCTAAACCCTCCTCCTCCAACCTCCTTCCCTGGCCTTGAGCTTGCCAAGCACTGTTTTTCCCTAAGTGGTTGCTTTCTATCCAAAAAACAGACTTTTAAAAATAAGTGCTGATGAAGCAGTGGCAGCTCGTGAGTGGCCGAGGGCAGACTGGTTACCACAGGGTCCCGGGACCTCCATTTGTGGGGGTACCTACCCCCTGAGATGTGCCCAGCCCTCCCCAGGAGCCTGAGACACCTGCGGTGGCCCTGTCACCACCCTCAGGACCCTAAGAGGACAAAGGGACTCCGGAGCCTGAAACTGCAGCGGGACTGGCCACGGCCACGGCCACGGCCCCGGGATAGGAGCAGGGAAACATTTTGGGGATTGTTCTGGTCTCTTAGGTAGTTTAATGGGACCCGTCTGCTGGGAGTGGGGGACCCTGCGCCCCGAGTTCTTGGTTGCCCCGGGGGAACTTGTGTGCAGATCCCTGGGAAGACGCAGCCCCGGATTTGAGTGTTGTCCTAACAACATGACCGTGGGCTGTCATCTTAGCAAATGTCAAAGGAGAGCCAGTGTCTGGGGCCACAGGAAAACTCAAGTTCCCCTTACGGGGTGCAGAGGGGCCACTGTCACACACTGGTGCTGGGAGACCTTACAAAGGGGGGTGCTGAGCTCCAGACCCACCCAGGACCCCCCCCTCCCCCTCCCCGGCTTAATGGGGTTAGAACATTCCAGTCCAGCATTCCAAGATTTCTAAACTTGCTCTCTCCCGGAGGTACACAGAACCTAAGTGATCTGACCCGTCTTTGGGGACAAATAATTGGATGGTTAGAGCCCGCACTGCGACTCGGGTCTGTGCCGAACTCATTTCCTGGACCTTTGTGAGGGCCAGGGCCCCGTGCATTACGGGCCCATTTACAGAAATGAGAGCGGTAATTGGAACATCTTTTGAAATCCGGTCCCCTCTCCCTCTGTCGCCGGCCCCCTCGGCCGCCTCGCTCGCCTTGGCGGGCGGTGAAGGATGTTTACATATGCCTCTTCCTGGAATTTCGCTCTTTGCTCCAGGAGTGGGCAATTAGAGAGAATTAGGGCCTATTTGGCGAATGGGCACCGTTAATGGATAGAATGGCAGAGGCAGCCTTGGGAAGGCGGTCTGCTGGTCTAATTGAAGCTGGCAATTTTTTGATTCCTTGTTTCAGCTCGCAGGTATTGTCGTAACCAAGGTCACCAAACAAAGCCGCAGCCCACCCTGGTACCGCCGGGTGCAGCCTGACCGAGGCCTCGGAGCTGCTTATTAGCGCCCACTGAAGCACAAAGAGACGGCTGGGAATGTTTGCAAAGCCGGGGCTGAGGCGGGCGGGCGGGCGGCGGCGGCACAGGGCCGGCTGCTGATCGCTTTTCCAGAACTTGCCACCCCGGCAGCTCCTTCTGGAAGTGCTCGGAACTGGGGTGTCGTGTGTTGCCAAGGGGTCTCGTGACCCGAAGGCACAGGGGGAGCCACAGGGGAGGTGTGGCCGCCGCGCCCTCCCTCCTGGGGCTGCAGCGGGGCGCCGATCTCCTTACACAGGGACCGCTCCACTGCCCAGAGGTTTCCCGGAACTGGCCGGCGCCCACAGAGTTTGGAAAAGTGTCCACAGGACACAGTCCCTGGGAGCTAGTGCGGGGCGTGGGCATGGTTAGCTCTGTGTTCACGAGGAGATGACCGGAGGCCGGCTGCTGGCTGCAGCCCCACTGGCCAGGCTGGTCAAGCGGAGCCAGCGGTGCCAACAGGTTTGCAGCCAGGCCTGCCACCTGGGCTCTGGTTCACGTGTCCCTACAGTACACCTCTTGGAAGGTCATGGACCCATGATCTCAGCCCCTGATGCTAAAGACCCAGCAAAAACAAACCAACAGGCCACAGAGGACCACAGAGGAAGCTGGATGGGTCCCAAAGCAACAGGGGCATTCAGATCATGGTGTCTAGGCACCGGCCCATTTCACAGATGGGAACACTGAGTCCCAGAGGGCTGGAGACAGGGGCCCACTAGAGCTAGTGCTATGCATAGGCTGGAACCAGGCGTCCTAAAGGCCTCCGAGGGCTACTGCAGGACCCTGGGTCCCAAGAAGCTCTCCTCGGACCCCTGGCCAGTCCCAAGTAGCAGGGGTGTGCCTTCATCCCAGTGCCCGGCTAGGAGACTTGTGGGGACCCCATTCTGGACACTTGGCACCTCTGCCCCCTCCTCCTCTGGTAAAATAGAACCTGGCCTGGCCAATACTGGTGCCCGGGCTCCTCCCTCTGCCTCAAGGGTTATGCATACCTGACAGACCACTGCCTCACTTGACAGATGGGAAAACTGAGGCCCCTAAGCCAGTGGTCACATAGACACCAGCCAAGACTGAGACCGGGGACTCTTGCAGGGACTTTATTCTGGTCTCAAGGGAGGGGACCCCAGCCCTCGGGGCAGTCTGGGGCAATGGTGGCTCAGTTTTCCCTCCATCTCAACAGGCCCCCTTGTTCCGGGCTGTCCCTGCTCCCGGGGTCCCTGCTGACGCTCCCCCATCTTTCCTGATCCCCAGCAGAGTTCCATGGGTCCCCAGGCCCCCAGCCCCAACTTCTTAGCCTGGTAGGAAGGACTCTCTCCACCCTGGGCAGGCGGCAGCGGGACATGCGGTCAGCCTCTGGCCCCCGGACTGTCCTCCTCCCCAACTTTCCATCCCGGAGCTCTGTCCTTGGCCCCGTTCTGTCTCCCTGGCTGTCCCTCGGGCATCGGGCCCAGTTTGATCAAATTCTTGTTTATGGGATTCTTCCTCCTGAGAAACTCGCAAAGGGAAAGCCCTAGAATGCGGAGCGCGGGCAGGGCCGGGGTCACGCGGCCGGCATGGCTGGCTAAGCACGCCTTTGTGTGGCCCCTTGTCTGCGTCTCCGAAGACACACACACACAGGGGCGCAGGGGCAGAGGGGACACACACACACTCCCACACCCTCCTCCTCCTCCTCCTCCTCCTCCTCCTCCTCCTCCTGGGGGAAGGTAATTGAGGTTTTCGTCTTTTCATCCGAAGAAAAGGCACCTTCTATTGAAAGAATGCATTCAGGGACTGGGAAAACTCATCTGCACTCAGCCCTCCCAATTACCCCAGGTGGCTGTGCTCCGCGGCTCCCCCACATTCCTTTCTGCCCGCGCCTTTGTTCCGGCTGCACCGGCCCCAGGAGCTCCCCGGCTAAGAGTCTCCTCCTTAAGCCCCTGCCAAAGGCCCTATTCACGGCGCCAAGCGGGGTGGTGGGGAGCCTTCCCCGGCCCCGACCCCCGGGGTGGGGGATTTACCGAGTCTCCATCTGGATTTTTTTTTCTAAGCCCAAAGAAATTGGAGAGCAATTAAGAGAGTCACGTCTATACCCTCCGCCATCCTCTCCCTTAATTAACTCCTCTCTCACACACATCCCCCCCAAGGTGGGGCCACCCTGGCCTCAGCCACCCAGCACCTGCTCCGCTCCCGGATCCCCGTGCCCAGCGAGGACGCGGGCGGGCAGGAGGCCCGGGAGACAATTAGACACATGTCCAGAGGCTTTCTAACCACCCTGAGCTCCCCAACAATGGCCCGCTGTCCAGGGGAGTCTGGGATAGGAGTCCGAGTGTCTACAAGGCACCCGGGAGGCGCTGGAAATTGCAGGGTGTCTGGGCACCTCCACGAGGCGCCTCTTAGGGATGGGGCAGCTTGCCTTGGCAAAAGTAGGGGGTCCCCCCACCTCTATTGGGCCCAAAGGAACCGGGGACCCCCTCTCCCTGTCCTTCCTGTCCTGCTGCAGTGCCTGGGGACCAGAGAGGACCGTGGAGGGCTGCCCTCCTGCATACCTTTCCTGACTCGGAAACCCTGAGCCGACACTGCTGGTTTCTACATCGGCCCCGGCCCTGTAACCTATGGGACCTGAACTCGGGTCAGTGCTGTGGAAGCCCACCTTCCTGTTGCCTTTCCAAGGGAAAGTGTGCAAGTTCTAGGCAAAGCCATCTTCCTGTTTTCAAGGAAAAATTCATTAGCAAGCTCGTCAGAGATGGACAGATTCGTCTTTTCTCTCTGGAAGTCAGACGGCACGTAAAAACCACATCTATGTTTCGGCATGTTCATGAGTGAATAAGGAGCATGTGCATCGAGCGGCCCTCAGCCTTGCCGGGTTTGGACGTTGCTTGGAGAAAGGTGCTTGGAAAAGCATTTGGGGTTTGCATCAAGAGTCAGGGGGGGCACAAGGGCGGAGACCCCGGAGGCTGCCATTCAACAGGTCCAACTTCTCTAACTGAGAATTTGACCTATTATTACCTATTTTGTTTTTATGCCACACAAACCCCAAAATGTGTATGTGCCCGGAATTGACCATTCTCAAGGGTACCTGAAATGCAGGTAGGCCCAAAGCCTGATCACCCCAAACTACGGAGCAGGGTAAGGGCCAAAGTCTGGAGCTGGCTGGGCACTTGCTCTCATCTTGACTCTGCCCCTTGGCTCAGCCCACCTTGAAGGAGACCTGGATAGCCCTAAGGAAGAGTCTAGAAGCCCAGCTCCACGGATCTCTGGGATAAGCTCCGGATGAGCCCCCAGGGGGGTTCTGTGTAAAGTTCCCACCCAGCCCGCCTTCCTCAGCCCCGTGTCTGCAGGTGGCTTGGCAAATGCCAGCCTCGGGGTAAATATCACAGGGCACGTCTTCCTGGGGCTTAGCCCTGGGCACACACACACCCCACCTCTCTCCAGCCTGCGGGCTCCCCGAGGAGCGAGAGCTAGCACACACGGCAGCAGTGCCCATGCCCGCAGCCCTCAGCCCCGCCCCTCTCTGCCTGCACGGATGGGTTTTATTTCAATATCCGCACCCCGTTTCCACTGGGGTGAGGAGGCGGGGCTGGGAAGGAAGGAGCTGCTCTGAAAATGCCCTCAAAAAAAAAAAAAAAGCATTCGGGGATTGTGGGTGCTGCATGGCACCCCAAGGACCCATCTCAAATAGGAGGGAGTGTTGGCATCTGGGGGACGGAATCAGATTCTCCCCGGCCTACAGGTCTCCCTCATCCTTCACCCAACAGCTCAGCCGTCACCAGGACGGCCCCACTGGGCCGAAAACCCCCAGGCTCCCCCCACCCATGGGACTCAGGCTTCCCCCTCTCCTGAACGTGGCCACCAGGGCCCCAGAAGCCTCTTCTCCTCCTGTCACCTTGCTCAGCTGTCCCCACCGTGGTGTGGGGCCTCCCAGGACACACACGTGGACCCTCTGGGCCTGAAGGATGATCTCGTCTCCACCGCCGCCGAGGGACCCCACCCTGAGCGCCCGGGCGGCAGGAGCGGGTGAACCGCAGAGAAATGGGGTGACGCCAGGGCTGGTGTGTGGCTGCAACCCGCTTTCTCCTCCTTGCCCACCATCGCTGATTGTGTGTAAACAAGCACAAACATCCCCGTCCCGCTGCCAGTTCGGGGGAAGGGAAAGAGGCCAAGGGAAGACCTCGCTCAAAACCACCGTCTGATGAAAGGACATTATCATTATCAAAGCCTCGTGGGCGAGGGGCCGGCCTTCTCCCAGGGACAGGGTTGCCATGGCATGGGGCAGAAATGTTTTTCGAGCTGCGGAGCAGACAGGCATTCCTCCTGCCCCGTCTCCCAAAGTGTGTGTGTGGGGGGGGGGGGGGGGGGAGCTCGAGAGAGCAGATGCACCGTATTCATCTCATGGACATGCTCAGTGAGGTTTGTGAGGGCCTATTATGTGCCTGACCCATGCCAGTGCTCTTCTCGGGGCCCAGGCCAGAGCTGGACGCCTCACTTACCGTGCAGGGGGGCCCACAGCGTCCGGTCATCCAGGGCGGCCACATCTCACGCTGGTTTGGTGGGGCTCCAGGCAGCAGCCAGGTCCCCAGGCCCCGAGTTGGAGTAGAAGGTAGTGACCCCCCAGCCCCCCAAGCTAAATGTGTACCTAAATGTGAGGTGGACTTAATGCAATCGTGGTGTTTGAAAAAAAGCAAAACACTCACCCCAGGACGGAGAATGTTGGGAAGGAGGGCTTGGTCCAGGGCGCTGTCCTCGGGGGCTCCTCCGTCAGGTCTTCAGCTGACCCGGCCCTGGGTCAACCTTGGGGAGAGACAGGAAGTTAGAATACAGCGAGGCCAGCCCCCCAGAAAAGCCACACCTCAAGAAGAGGCAGAGCCCCGTCTCACCAGAAGTCTGGGTCTCAAGGTGGCTCGTGAGAATGAGCGGCCATGGGAAAAACCAAAGGCCTGGGTGGCAGCTCCCAAACCAACTGCAGACTCGGGGTGGCGTGAGGGGAGCAGGGCCAGGGACTCCCTGGGGCGGGGCGGGCCATGGGGACACCTGCTTGGGTACAACAAGGGAGCAGTGAGGGAAGGAGACAGGACTGAAGGTCAGGCAGACCCTGGGCAGCCAGGCAAAGGGGAGTGGGCATTTGAGGATGTTTGCGGGAGGTAGCATGCCAGCAGGGGCTTGTCCCATAGGCTCTGGGGGCCTGTTAGCAACCTGGGCAGCAGGGGGCAGAAATGGCTCCTTGGGCGGAGGGGTGTCTGGACCCCAGCAGCGGGGCCAGAGGTGAAAGGTGGGTGGCGGAGCAGCAGGGGCAGGTAGCTACCATGTAAGTCAGGGGGCGAGCAGCCGAGGCCCACAGGGGGAGGCAGGCACAGAGAAGGGGCAAAGCAGAACTCAAGTGGGCAACAGAGCAGGGGAGGAGCCGCCAGGTAGAGCAAACAGGTAGGCAGCCAAGCAGAGGCAGCGCCTGCGGAGCTCCCTGGAGGTTCCCAGCCAAAGAAAGGAGCTAGAGTTAGCTCCAGGCTGGAGGCAGGTATCACGGAGGGAGGGGTCCAGCTCAGGGACCCCCAACTCAAGAGGGAGACCATGTGGCCAGAGCCCAAGGGTACACATACCACATTCCGGGGTGCATTCAGCTACTGGCTGAACGGGGGCGGCAGAGAGGGCAGGAGGGGCTGGCTACGTCAAGGTTACCGGCCACGTGGCCCAACGGCAAACCAGGCCAGCCCCTCGCACAGTCCCCCTGTCCTGCCTTCTACAGAGCTGTCTCGATGCCAGTATGGTAGGCCAACGGCCGCCCTTGGCAGTGACACCCCCCGGCTCGCCCTCCCGAGGGCAGAGGCCATCAAGGGACCGGCTATCGTGGCGGGTGCTAGGACCAGCCGGGCGATGGGCTAACTCAGCAACGATCAACTGTTGGATGAAGGGTTGGCCGCGTGAGTGAATGAAGGGGCAAGACTGGCAAGGCCCCTGCTCAAGCTGGGGTGCCCGCCTCCCCCTAAATCGAAATCCGCTCTCCGCCCTTTGGATCTAGACGTGACCTCCTAGCGTCCCTGCGACTCCGCTAGCACAGCCGAGGCCCTTCATTGACTCACCTGCCCAAGCTAAACCGACATCCCACATACTTTTACCGAGCCCCACGTATGCCAGGCGGGTGCTGGGACACCCAAAGGAGATGTGGGCTGGCCTAGGGCACGCCCCCAGAACACTGGGTTAGGGAGTGGCGGGGGGGGGGGGGGGGAGGGCAGAAGGGAGGGAGGAGAGAAGGGGGCGTGAAGAACAGAGGTGGGAACAAGTGAAAACAGAAAACAGAGCGGAGAACAGCTGGAGAAGGCGGAGCATCTCTAGATCCTACTCATCCTCTAGTTTCCGCCAAGGCTGACTGAAGGATGGATGCAAGAGTGGGCTCTGGAGGTCAAGGGTCAACCCAGAGAGTCACCCAAGACCTCTGAGCTGGAAGAGTGGGACGAAGGGTCCCACTGGCCCCCTACGCTCAAGGGAGCCATGAGCTCGGACCCCCTTGCTGGTGAAAAGCCGAAGACCAGTTGGCCAGGAGGGGATGTGGGAGCCAGTTTCCCCGAGGGCCAGGTAGTCGGGGGCTCCAGGAATAACACAAACCCCCAAGATCCTGGCCAACCAATGCCTCCCACCCCTCCTCAGGTGCGCCAAGGCTGAACTACTGGTGACCTTGGGCTCGCGTGTGAATGACCAGTATGAATTTGAGGTGGGAAGAGTCCTCTAGATTATTTCCCTCTCTATTTAAAATGTATCCTCTCCCGTAGAAACACCAGAAATTGTTCTACTCTTTTCCTCTAGTTCTATTCTGTCCCCCTCGTGGGTCACCTCTAAGGCAGGGCCTCCCCCTTTTGATTGGGGGGCTAGAGGAGAGCTGGTTTTGCTAACTTGGGAAGAGGGGAACGTTTTCTACTAATTAAAATGGGTCCAACATGTTAACCCCAAACCATGCCCTCCCGGGGGAGGGGGTGCCTTTGTGTGAATCCCACGGGTCCTACACCTGGGACGTGGCATGCTTTTCTTGTCTGGTGGATGCTGAAACCAGTGAGGTGCATGCTGGGAGTGGGAGCCCTGCACCCCAGTGTCGTCCTCTGAGAGTGAATCCCGCAGGCAGGCAGCCCCGGCCCCGTGCAGCTGATCTGCCCGCCGGGCCCAACAAAGGAACTTTCTGGAAAGCAGGCCTGTCCCCACAGCCGCCTCCTTCCACGGTCTGCCCAGCTCCATGGGCCTTGCCAAGGCTTCAACGAGGAGCAAAGGAAAACTGGGCCCCGGCCCCCGAAATTACCAGGGACCCTCGCCTCTGGGACCCTCGCCTCTGCCCTGCAGACGCCGGTCCACCTCATTACGATAATCAGAGTGTTTTTCCTCCTCAGACAAAGAAGGCCCCCTCGGAGGAACCCTGGAGCCCAGCAGCTCCCTCATTAGCGTCCGCAGCCTCTTCCTTGACAAGGTCCAAGCCCAGGCCCGTGTTCATTAGGGGAAAAGGGCGGAAAGTGCAAGGAGACTGAAAAACACGGCTGGGGGAGGGGCAGGGCCCTTCCTGTTGGCCATTCAGTTCTCTGTAAGGCCATGTGTACCTTCAGGACTTAATCACCAGCAAAGGGGCCGGGGGGGGGGGGGTTCAGCCGGGATGAAGGCGGGTAAAAGAGGTTAAACTCGATAGGAGTTAAAACCCCCAAAAACGGGGCAATTTGATTTGAAAGCTTCCTGGGACGTGCTACTGGGACCATTCATTTAAAACCCTTTTCCTGTTTATTTTAGCCCAACCCCGACCCTGCAGGAAACCCTCCCCTGGATGTGCTTTCCGTCCGTGTTAATATTTTCTAAGTCCCCTTCCCTGCTTGCATTGTCTTTGGGGCCTTTTCTCATTCTTTTCTTTCTCTCCCCACCCACCTCTCTCTCCTCCCCCTTCCCCTCCACCTCTTCTCTCTGTGGTCCTCCCCATGAGAACGCTACCTGTAAGAAAATCTGATGGTGACTCTAATTGAATTTTCTCACCAATACTTTCATGAGCTTATTTCAAGTCCCTCCGAGAGAGAGTCTGGTTCTTACCTGCGAGACGGTTCTCTCCGGACCTGCCAGGTGAACATGATTGATCCTATTTTGCAACTGAGAAAAAGTGGCTTGGAGAAACTAACCTACCGTGGGAACTCAGCTTAACTAACGAGGTGGGTTAGCCAGGACTCAACCCCAAGGGGAGATGGGTGAGAGGCAAGTTCCAGAAGCCCGGGGCTCTGGCTACGTGAGGTCTTACAAGAAAGGGTGTGCCCCTGTGGTGTCTAGAGGGAGTGCGTGTCAGGAGGAAGCCTGGAAATGTGTCCGTGTGCCTGTGAGCTGGAGCTGTCCAGGTGTGAGCTACAGAAAACTCATTACCTTAAGTCGGAGGCCGCTCGGCGGAGTGGAGAAGGCGGGAAGCAGTGGGCTGGAGAGGAAATTGGAGGTGAGGAAGGAAGACAGCAAGTGGAGACAGGCCTTTGGAGAAGCTTGGCTGCGAAAGGAAAGAGAGAGAGAGATGGTAGTGGCCAGACAGGCGGACAGGAGGAGCCGGAGGCCCAGGCTGCGGAGAGAGCAGCGAGGAAGTTGGAGGGGATCATGGGAGGAGGCTGGAGGTGAGACGGGAGTGACCAGTGCAGAGGACACCTCTTCGTTTACATCGCAAGAGGCAAGGGGGGTGCAAATGGGGTGAAAACCCCAATCTTTAGGGCCCCTTGACAGCCTCAGTCCCCTGGGAGGCCCGAGGCCAGCCCCGGATCGGGACAGGGAGTTGTGAGTTTCAAATGAATCGGCAAATGCCGAAAGACGTCCATGTCCACTGGGAGTGGGAGGCCTGAGCTCACAGCCCACTCAAATCTCACTGGGGCCTGGATTTCTCTGACCACAAATTATGCGTCCTTACATGAAAAGGATGTCCAAAGCGGTGGCAAAAGCCTCCGGAAGACAAAGGGGTGCCCCCTAATAGCCCAGATTAACTCAGGCGGGGCTCCGCCCCCTTCATTCGTCACCTTCGGAGCCACCCTTCCGCCTCCATTTGCCGTATAATCCAATCAGGCCCTTTCAGAGGCCCGGGAGCCATTGTCCACCCTGCGCCGGGCTCCTCAAAGCGGCCTGGACTGGTTTTGTCTTGTCTGGACAAAACTGCGTGGCTTAAAAGGGGACGAAAAAAAAAGTGCTGGTCAAACGAGGACCCCAATTAGCTTCTGAGAGGCTGTTTGCATCATCTCTGGGTCACGTACCAGGCCTGGGGTGCTGGGCATGTTTGTCGGTGTTCAGCAAAGGTTTGTCGAACTAATTCTGTTTCTATTCATTTTGAAATTTACTTACGGAGCGCACACACTCGCAGCACCTACTGGGTGCTAGCCCGGTTATGAGAGCATGCGAACAATCCAGAGTGTTAAGGACCTTAATTGTCACAGCAATTTACAAAGCACTTTCCTAGCCGTTACATCATTTGGTCTTCAAAAGCACGAGTGTGGTAGATAAAGGCTGGTGGGGGGTTTTATTTATTTATTTTTTTAATCCTCATTTAGGCCGTGAAAGGAACTGAGACCTGGAGAAGTTAAGTGTAACTTGTGAAAGGTCACCCCATTATGGAGGTGCAGCCAGCACATGGTAGCAGCATTGGAGCCACCCCAGACCGCCCCCCCAAGACCACCTTAGGCAGCCGGGATTTCAAGCAGACCATCCCGCTCTCAAATGTTTGATTAGAAATCAAGAGCTCTTCATCTAAACTCCGGGCCAGGGGGCTCAGAGGTAGCTACAATGTCACCCAGGGTCCAACTCGGACCCCTCGCCTTGCCAGCAGGAGGACAACATACTTAACGTCCCTCCAGCCTCAGTGCCCTCGCTGTAAATGGGAACAAACCCTGTCCCCTAGAAGGGGCGGTTCAACCCTCACCCGCCTTTACACAGTGACTCAAGTCAAGACCAAATTCATTCTTATCTGTAAATGGTCATCACCTATGTGTCTGACATGGAAATAACATGTTCAAAGATCACATGAAAGTGCTCTGCAAATGACTGCCTGCACAACGGATGGTCCTGTCCGGGTCGGCCCGTCACCCTTCCTGGCGGCGCCCTACCTGTGCCGCAGACCCCGCGGGCAGGGGCTGTCGGAGCGCTGCGGGAAAATAAACAAGAGACGTTAAGACAAGTGACACTGGTGAGGAGGGGCTGACCTGCCAGACTTTCAACAAACGTTGGCTGAACACCCCTCTGCGCCCGGCGAATTTGGCTCATTTAATACTCACAACGGCCCTAGGAGGCTGCTCTTCTCATGCTGTTCCCCCAAAAAAAAAACAGGGCAGGGACGCCCATGACGTCAGAGCTCATGCGCATTCCACAAGCCCACCACGGCTTTGGAATTACCAGGGAGAGGCTGGCGGAGCCCGTGGCCCAGGTCCCCCTCCTGAGAAGTTCCCAAAGGGATCCTTCTAATTCAGGACATCGTCCGGGCAACAATAGGGTCAGCGGAGAAACGCTGACACCTCCTTGGGAAGGGGAACACTCCAGGTCGCTGGCGCATTAACACAAGCAAAGACTTACAGGAAAGTATTCGTAAGCAATAGGCACAAGCATAGCCGAGGTCAGGGGTTAACGCCCAATGCCCCCTCACTAGGGCATTGGACTAAGTCTTTCGCCCAGAGGAGCAGCTGGTTGGTCCGTTCTGGTCCTCTTGGGCCTCAGTGGTCCTGGTCCTGGGGGGTCTCGGTCAGGGGCTGCTTGGTGTGCGGGTGGGATCCAAAAATGGCTGCTCCTGATGTCTTCTGCAATTGATCAAAGGTTAAAAGAATCACGTAAAAGCCCAATTCGATGTATTAATTAAAATTTAAATTAGTTAATTATAACTAAAACTAATTAGTTAAAAGTTAAAATTGTCTAATTGCTTGTGGGTCTGGGGGTAGTGGGAGGAGGGGGGCAGGGTGGACTTGGCCACCATGTTGTACATAAACCGCCATGAGGAGTTGCATACCATTCGGTGGAGATGAGCAGTGAACACCTTGGCATCAGCTGGGCATCCACAGGTGGTCCTTGAAGACGAGGAGGTGAATGGTGATGTCATCCCTGAAGAGAGAACCTATGGCGTGGGAGGGGGCCAGGTTAGAATCCATCTTGATGACCTCTAATGGCCAGCGAGGGAACAGCAGAGAGAGGGAGGGGGCAGTCGGAGGGAAAGGAGGGGGGAGTGGAAGAGAAAGGAGGAGGGAGGGGTGAAGAGGGAGGAGTGAGGAGGGAGGTGGGAGGGGTACAGAGGGAGGAAGGAATCAGAGAGAGGAGGGGTAAAGGGGGGGAGATGAGGGAAAGGGGAGGGGAGGGGAAAGGGGAGAAATGGGAGGGGTCAGAGAGGCGGGAGAAATGGGAGGGGGAGGAAGGAGAGCAGAAATGGGAGGGGGAGGAGGGAGAGAAGTGGGAGGGGAGGAGGGAGAGAAGTGGGAGGGGAGGAGGGAGAGAAGTGGGAGGGGGTAAGGAGGACTTGATTGACAGGACACAAGTGTTAACTGTGTGCGCATGCGCAAACTCCAGCCCGGTTTGGCGGGCTGAGACCATTTGCAGGCGCGGACCGCTAGGGGGCGCACAGTCAGCTCCAGAGCCCAAGAGCACAGCCACCTGCGGAGGGCGACTCTCGCCCCTCCCCTCCCTGGCCCGCAGCTGCCAGGGCAACAGCTGGCACAGGATGGGCGGGAGCGCGCCAACAGGTCTCAGGCTGGGAGGGTGGGCACTGCAGCCCACCCCAGCTCACCAACAAGACCGCTAACTCCCCTAAAACGCAGGCGCGCCATCACCAGCCAGAATCCACCTGTAGGCATGCGGCAGCACCCTCACTCCCGCTGCAGTGGGGGGGTCACCAAAAAAAGGCATGAGGATACCAAGAAAACACTCGCCAAAAGGGTCTTTCCAGAACACAATTCCACCTTTAATAAGTAAAAACGCAGAAAGCTTCGCCCCGACCTTCCGTAGGTCCAATTAAACGAATTAAAACGTAAAAGACCCGCTTCTCGATACAACACTCTCACTCATTTCAGCGGTCTCTGGACACAAAAAAAATATGGTATTGCTACAGAATAATATAAAGGCGGCCAGAACCACCGAAACGCGTCCAAACCACCCACTGCCCCCCTCCCCATCTCGCCTCCCGTCTCCCCCGCAAGAATCCCAAGACCCCGCACCATGGCGCCTTATGGACAACTGCATGGCCTCTTCATCCCGCTCAAAGGAGCCACACCTTTCCCGAGATCCTCAAACCGAAAAAGAAAAAAAATACCAAATGCAATAAACGAATCCGCGTCCACGCATTTCCACGACCCCCGAGGCACGCCAGCAGCGCGCGTGGATCGGGGCGTCTCCTCCCGGCGGCCGTTTTACGGGAATCTTAAAACATCGCCCACGTAGGTATAATGAATGCAGAATTCTCCAGAAAAAACCTCACGCCTGACCCCCTCCAGCAGAAGAACAAAGGCCACCTCCCCTCCCCACCCCGCCCCCCAAAATTCCGCAGTGCCGCCAGCGCCCTCTGGCGGCCGCCGAGGAAACATTCCAGAAACCTGCCACGTAGCAACCCGCTAGCGCCCCCCCACACACACACGCATGCACACACACATACACACACACTCTCACACACACTCACATACAGCCCGCCATCCCTGAGTGGGGAGGGGGCGGCATTGGGGGGGCTTGACAGGGACAAAGGAAACAGCAAACGGCGACTTTAGCAAAAATCAAAAGCCTGCAACACGTCAGAACCTTCCAGAGACCATCCGCGCAATGCCGAAAGCACCCCCGGACCCCCCCGCAACCCAGACCTCCCAAACACACCCCCTTTTCCGTGTTTTTTTTTTCTCTCTCTCCCCTCTTGCTTCCCAGACCAAAGACACAGCCTTCTCTCCACGCCAGACCCCCACCCCTTTTTTTTCTTACTCCGCCAGTGCCCCCCGTTACACGGCCCTCCCTCCGCCCGCCTTCCTGCAGAACGGACCACCGGGGGGCTTCGGTCAGGTTTTCACTTGGGCGCCATCTCTCTCTACCGTTACCAAGGAGGTTTATCGGGGCGAAAAAACCACATGATTTCCGTTAGAAATTTTACCCTTTTTTTCTTTCTTTTTTTTTTTTTTTTTTTTTTGCACCAAAGCGGGCCCTGCACTAAAATCTGTGCGTTTGCATCGGGAACCCCTCCCGGGCAAGAACCTCGACTCCTCACACCCACCGGCCACCAACATGCTCCCCAGAAACCGGGGGGAGGCCTTTTCCTTCGGGTGCTTTTCCCCCCTAATCCGCGGGGCATGCAGAATGCGTCGGCCGCCATATCTCCCACCCTCGGGGGTGCTCACGGGAGCTTTCAAGACAGAAAAATCGGGGTTTTTGGACCCCGGTGACTACGGGACACGGGATTCTGACATCGGTATGGGTCCGATTCCTCCCTCTCCTCTTCATTTCAGTCCCCTCCTCCCTCCCTAACCTTCATGAGCTGGACGAAAAAAAATGGGGCCCTGATCACCCCCAAAAAAAAAAAATGTGCCTCGAGATTCCCCTTCCTGACAGCGTTGGGTGGCCGATGCTCGGGACCGGGCGCGGTGGCCACCTTCGGGAGCAGGTCCCGGCGGCCGTGTCCTTCGGCGTGTCCAGGAGGACAGCGGCCGGCCCGGATGGCGGGACACGGATGGAGGGTGTAAGGCTCTGATTTTGCACATCCTTTCCGCCAAGGATGGCCCACGACTCACCTGGCTGGGGAGGTTCTCGCGTGGGCGCCCCGGAGTCTTCGGGGGAGCGGCGGCCCAGGCCCGCGGAGGCCAGGCGCGCTCCAGCCCGCTCGTCGCCGTCTGCGCTAGGGGCCGGCTGGGTGGGGTTTATATGGAGGCGCAGGAGGGGTGGTCTCTGACGTCAGCGCATTCTGCTGCAATGCGCTCATTTCTCCGAGAGCGATTGGCTGGAAAAATGAGCCCCCCAGATGCGATGACAAATTGCTCCGGCCGCACCCAGATTGCAGCAAAGAAGGGAGGAAAAAATTCTGCCGCAGTGCCCCTCGCCGCCATGACCAACACCCAAGGCTCACGGTGGTTTTTCCTTTTTTTCCCCTTCGCGAGCCCCCCGATCGCCACCGGGGCCATGGGTGGGCACCATTTTTATTTTCTGAGATGAGGGTGGACCAAGGGTATTATTCTCTTTTTTTATTCTCGGGTGGGCAGAGGGTGAAAGCGGGGTGCTCCAGGGGTAGCGGGGCAATGCACCTGGCTTTTTCGGAACCTCCGTGAGAGGAGGCATCTCCGGGGAAGAAAAAGATGCTGTCCGCAGATTTGTCCTGGAAAATAAAACCCCGGGCACGATGACCGATTCCCGAATGGACATCGGCGCCTGTCAGCCCACCCACCCGGTTCCGATGGGTCCCCTTAGGCACGGAACGCTAGACGCGGCGCCTTCGACTCAGAAAAATAAAATAAGATAAGATGATAAGATAAAATAAGATAAAATATAAAATAAAATAAGCCTAAAAGAGGGGGAAAAACGGGTTTTGAGTCGAGGCTCTGCCGCTTTACAGCCCGCGTACCCAGAACCTGCAGTACCCGGTCCTCTGCTAGGGGGCACATTTCTCCACGTTCGCAAGGCGGTCGTCGTCCCCCCCCCCCCCCCCCCTAAGTAACGGGATTGTAATGAGGATTCGAAGCAGGGAGCTTTGTCCCTCTGGGGACAGTACTTTCCGAGGTCTGTGTCCCACCTGGAGATGAATGGGGTAACCCCCCCAAAATAAATGGGGTAACCCCCCAAAAAAATTCGAGATGACATGCCCACACGTTCACTTTGGCAGACAGCAGCCCCCCCCCCCCTCCCTGCACCGCCCCGGGAGACGGGCAGGGACACATGTTGCCGCAGAGCAGGGCTCGCACGCCCCGCGCCGGGACCTGGCACCGGAGATCCGATCCCGAACAGGTGGCCGCGGCGCTCGGCGGCAGCTCGGCCGGACATCGAGGGGCCCCGCGGGCAGGGCCGTCAATCAAATGTCCTCCCGCAAAGGTCAGAACGCTGTTGAAAGGGACTAAGGATCTATCTTAGGGTGACAGGTGGGTGCCAGCCGGGAGGGCAAGGACGGGAGCGCCTGGTGACAGAAGAGGGGTGAGCGTGAGTGATGGGTCCCTAAGGGGGGCGTGGGAGGGGGGCCCCGCGGAGGGATCGGGTTGGAACAGCGGCCCCCGCCCCCGCCCGTCCCGGAATGGGTGGGGAGCAGCTTCAGAGAGCGCCCCCCACCCCACCGCACCCCTCCCAGGCCCCGCGGTCCTCCGGGGCGGCTGTTGCACAGACGGGGGTGTCCTGGGGCTGAGATTTAGGGGCACGGCTGTTTGGAAAAGCAACGGCTGGTGACAGGGGCGGCGACCAGGGGCCACCAGGCCACGAGAGACCCCGCATCCCGGGCTCGGGCACAGATCCACGGGCTCCTGGGACAAAGTGGGCTTTTGGGGCTCACGGCGGGGGGTGGAGGGGGGCGCCCCAACTTGTCAGATACTGTACGGGAGACAAGAACACCCCACTGATAGTTCGGGGAGCGTGCACGGCGCCCCAGATTCGGGAGCCCCCCAACAGGAGGGCCCGCAGCAACCAGGGACGTCAAGAAAGCCTCAAAAAATCATGGCTGCGAGCATCCCCGTCCACAGGAGAACGTTTATTAGCCACGGTCTTCATAGCTAGGAAACAGCCCGAGCGGCCCGGGCCAATCAGCGGCCAGGAGCGCCCGTCGCCAAGCCCGCTCGGCCAATCAGGCGCCAGCAGGCTGAGTTGCTAGCCTTCCCGGGCAGAGGAGAGGGGCTTGCATTGTCACGGGGGCTCCAGCTCGCCCCCCACGCGTGGGGGGCCAGTGTGGGGGCCCAGGCAGCCACGGGAGAGCGTCCGTCGTCACGCCCTCGGGGTCCCAGGAGCCTGTCTTAGAGGCAGGGCCTCCTGGCATGAGTTCCGCAGCCCCCAAGATCAGGAGCTGACTCTCTGGGTGGAGCCCCCAGCCTGGGTTGGGGTGCCTCAGGGACGCCCAGTGGAAGGAGAAACTCCAGACATGCAATGCGCATCTCTGTCCAACAGGCTGGGCCCCACAAGGGAAAGCGGGGCCTCCCAGCGCCAAGTCAGCCTCTCTGCTTTTTTTTTTTTTTTTTGCTTTTTGCTTTTTTTTTTCTTTTTCTGCGCTCTCTGGCTCCTTGCCTGCTGCTCTGAGGTTCCCAGTAAAACCCTGCTCCTCTTTTTCAGGGTCTGAACTGACAGGCCAAGCCAAAGGACCCTGGAAACGATGTGTTTCTGACAAAAGTATGGCGGGCTTGAATCCCAGCTCTGTCCCCCTCCCTATCTCGGGGAGGCTGGAGTCCAGGCCCTTCTCTCTCAAGGCCCCTATGTCCTCATCTGGAAATAAAAAAATAAAAAGAGAGTTGGACAAGATGGTCCCCAAGGAGCTTTGCAGTCCTGCTTTGCTTGATTTGAATGTATACATCAGGCGAGTCAAATGTCTTCCAGAACATTGTGCCTGACAGTAATTAGTATCAGGTGTGCCCTGCAGCCCATGTGGTTACTTCATCACGCTGCTTTTCTTTCCATTGTATTTTATTTTAAACAGAACTCCATGGCAACATGTGTATTCTGGCTTCCTCGAAGAAAGGGAGAAAGAAAGAAAAGAAAAAAAAAGATAGAAAAAAGAAAGAGGCTGCTGTAAATGGATCTTTGCTGAGTGTGGTTTAACCACACTACAAAAAAAAAAAAACTTTTTTTAAAATAAAAAATTAAAAATCCATATGTTTAAGTGTTTTGGTTGGCTTTTCTGAAGCTCAGAACCTAACTTTTAAAACATTTTATTAGTCCAAAGCTTTGGGAGAAGTAGCTTCAAAGAAGCCCCTCTATCAGAATCTCTGGGTCCCGAGACGGTTCCTCAATGTGAGCGATATTCGGCATGCTTTTCTCGCTCAAAAAAAAAAAAAAAAAAAAAAAAAAAAAAAAAAAAAAGGCCTTGGAGGGCTCAGATTCATATCTATAGGGCAAAACAGACGAGGAAATCCAGGTTGAGGAGCGGCCCGCTGTCTTTGCTGTGCATGCTGAAACCCAGCTCTCCTGAAGGGCCCTGAAGGAAAGCCATGTCCCAGACGCGGCTTAGCCTGCTGCCTTGTTTTTTTTTCCTCCCCTTCTTCACGTAGATCTAATTCAAAGCACACATTTTTCTTCTCTTTTTTTAAATTCATACTTGGGAACCCTCAAAAGCCATGTGAGCGGTCTCCTACCCACATGTACATACTTGTGGGCAAAGTGCACAACCGTCCTAAGATTCCGCCAGGAACCGAGGACAAGGTCCTTCTCTATCCATCTCCCTGGCGTGGGTCAACACGCACTCCTGTCCGCAGGAATACTGAGAGCTTTCACAGAAAAGCAGCCCCTCTAAGAAGGCCTTCTAGGTACTCTCACCCTTCACCGCCCCCCAAGAAAAATAAATGTAAAAAGTTGTGTTCCATAGAGATCTCCCTGGGCCTTCCTCCCCACCGCCTTTCAGTTGCTGGGCTGGGGGTCAAACAGCGGTCCCATCCATGTCCCGGGGTCCTGGGGTTGATGGGGTCTTCTGGAACGCACACCCATGCACACAGCCCTTTAGGGACGCCATTTTGCTTTCAAAATAGAGGCTCACCTCTTCGGTTTGACATCTCAGGACTCGTGTGAGGGGTTCTTTTTACTTCTTTTGGCTTATCCAAACTCAACTCGCACCCAGATTCCCTTCCAGCTGTGTATTTGGGGCGGGGGGCGGGGGGTGATCCCTGCTATGTGTTCTATGAGATCCTGGGGTTGGGGAGTGAGGAGCACCATGGCTGCCAGCACCCTCCCGGACTTCTACCCAGGACCCCGCTACCAGGAGCACTCTGCTCCCCCGAAACCTGGATTCTGGAGGCAGCGCCAACCTTTGCACAGAGGAGTGTGCCAACTTGTAGATATTAAAAGACAAATAAGATCCGGCCTTTTGCAAAAGGCCAAGGATAAAGCTCACTTCCCGGTAGACCTCTGGGCTTCCAGGCAAAGCGGAGCGTGTTGACTCTCAGGTCCGAGTACGTGGGAGAGCGTAGGCACTCCTCCTGGGGGACACCTGTCATGGCCCCCGACAGAGGAAAGGAGCGCCCCACATTGCCCGTAAGACCCCTCTAAACCATGGGTCGTTCTGGACAATAGATTCTGGCCATTTTTCTTTTTCCTACTTGAATGGATTTTCTCTATTGGCGTCTACTGTGCTTTTGTAATGTCCTTTTTTTTTTTTTTTTCTTTTTTTAATGTAGCAATCCAAGAAGACTGGCCGTTTGAACCCCTTCCTTAGGGTCCTCAAATAGGTCACATTTTTCTTTTTTCTTTCTTTAAATGTCTTTATTGATTAAGGTATCACACAATGGTCCCTACTTTTCTAATAAGTAAAGAAGAATAAGAACTATTTTTCTAATAATTAAATATTTTCCTACTAAGTAAGTAAAAATCAAGACCCTCAGGCTCCCCTGCCTGAGTAGCTCGAGGCACAGTCCCCACGGGGGGCCCAGTTTCGGGGTGTGGACCACAGGGGCCTGGAGCCGGCCCCACAGCCACGTCAGTCCTCTGGAAGGCCTCTCTTGAACCCGCCACAGAGGCGATCAATTCCAAGCTGGGAACAACAACAGCAAAAAAAAAAAAAAAAAATGAGCTCCATCGGTTTCATTCCTGCAGGAGGGCCCAGAAACTTCGATTTCCTAGGGAAGGAGAAAGGCCAAAAATGGGGTCTTGGCGAGGCAGGCCGCCGCCATGGGTTGGATTGGAGAAGCAGTCCCATCCCGACACTAGGAAAAACGCGGCCACATGGCTCAGCCTCGCCCCCACAGGGCCCCCCTGGCTTTGGGCGTGGGCCA